ATTTTGAATAAAATCATTTCATGAACTTGGTATCCATACCTGAAAGACATCCATCTTCACGTGCATATCTGTAAATATAATCAGCTATAAATCATAGTAAAAAAATACATGAACCCATGGAGAACAAGAACGGATAAAGAAAACCACAGATATTTGTAAAGATGTTTCAATGTTTTTTTGAACCGCACCATTTGATAAAAAAAACTTGAAAATGGTGATTCAAAATAGATTAAGATTAATATATGGTACCTTTACCTGGAATTCCATCATATAGATGTATTTTACACGTGCTGTTCACGTTCTTTATATACTAGCTGTATAGGTAAACATAATACTAGTGTTGATATATCAACATGCACGTGCATTGAAATAAAGATGGATGACCGAATCAATAATATCACACATTTACAGAACATATCAGTACAAACATTGATAGCAGTTTAGTTCTTAAAAAGAGGAGAGGTCAATGAGGTCAGTATAATGATTATACTTTATTAGTCTAAGGACATGGGGTTGGGGTTGGGGTTGAGGGAGGGGGGAGGGAGTGCTGGTCGAGCGGTTAAGTACTAGAATCTCCTGGTTTCGTATGCAGTGATGAAGCCACTTGATAGACAAAGGATTTGGGTTAGTGGGTACTGCCTGGGCAAAATGCCGTAGTATTAAGAAGAATAACGCGACAGTAACAAACACATGGACACTATACACACTGTAAGCTATTACATAAGAACAAAAACAAAATCAAGTCAACCAATGGGGGGCGGGGGGCACGGAGGCTCTATGGGTATGGCGCTGGCTATTTGAATTTTTCTATCCCGGTTCGCCGTTGTCTGTGATGCAGGACGGTTCTGGCAAGGAGATGAATGTAGTCTTTCGTACGAGACAAAAAGGAGTTCCACCCGTGTACTCATTGGCGTGCACGTAAGCACAACCCTTGACAATTGGTGGAAACTCCGCTACATGGTGTGTGTCCGTCTTTATCAGTCCGGTGGGGGGGGGGGGGGGTGGCTGATGGTTAGCACATGCGCGCTGTATCATAAAGTCTGTCATTGAGTCAACTTGCGTGGTTTCGATTCTCCGATTGTATGTGACAAGGAGTATGGTCGCCTGTCCAACCTCGTGCGTTTTACTCCTGGTCCTCCGGTTTCCGACCACTTCTAAAGACCCCTATGTGCAAGCAAATTATTGAAATAAAATTGAACCATATGTTAGTCCCAAAATGACCTCGTTTGTGTCGAGTGCAAGTTAAACCCCATCTTTCCCCCACCCTCTCTTTATCAGTCCGGTTGACCCAAACAAGTAGGACATTAAACCCTAGTCCAGTGCATTTCATGGCACAAATACGACAAGATATTCTATTGAATTTTATCTGAAGGCCAGCTGTAAGCGTCTAAGAAATCTGGTGAGACGATTCAAAATGAAATGAAATGGGGTTTAACCTCCAACTGTTCTGCTCCGACTGGGCTAATAAAGACGGGCATACGCCATACAGTATGCTATGAGGGAAATTGTGCCCGGACAGCTGCGCTACGACCTACTCTTATATCAAATCCAACTGCCAAGGGATCATTTACGTGTATGTCAATGTGTACACGGGACTTCGGGTTTTCGTCCCATCCAAACGACTGGCTCTCTTTCCTGCACCATTGACAAGGGGGAAGCACGCCGGAAAAATCCCGATGAACTTTCTTGACCAACGTAGGGATTAGCGAGTCAACGTGTTACTCAGCGAGTCATAGAGGGGACACAAAATGTCGTTTCGTGTATCTTTGTATATACAGGATTATCTAAGTCTGTAATCTCAGATTTGTTGGGGATTAGAGAAAAGTTAGTTTATTCAGCCAACAACAGAAGATATATTGTGTTCCCGTTAATCCCATCAAAAGTAAACAATATATATTTATATATAGAATATAGACAAATCGTGACTATACAACACCATGTATATAGCTTTAAATAAACGTGCAATATTGTCTATATTTTACACATATCCCTTGACCCCTGTCTGACCCCTGGTCAATTTATCAGTATACTATGACTACCTGACGTGTCCGTGTAAATACACAGGTAAAGTATTGTATTTTACATACAGGTAATTACACCTACATGTTAAAACTGTATATTTTATATTTCGAGTAGAAATAATTTTCTTCTCACAGACAAAATACAAACTTCTCGCCATGAGAAAGATAAATACAGTCAATGGCGTTTGCCCGGTTAAATACATACTTTCAACCCTCCGTCAATTTACAAATTATAGTCTTCTATTGTAATTTCGCACAACAGCATCACCGCCCTTTTCAAATTAAAATGACTGTATGGTTAGGCCTATTGGAAAAACACCTTCAATTATTTGGAAAGACAAGTCAGAAAGAAAATATTTAATTTAATTATTCATCGCAGTCGTCGAACAGCATGAAATGAATTGAAATTATTTTGAACGTTCCACTGTTCTGCTCAAACCGGGATAATGAAGACGAACATACACCATGCAGTATGCTATGGGGACATTTTTACCCTGAAAGCAGCGCTGCGGCCTACTCTTATATCGAATTCCTGTTGTTTTACGTGCACGCCAATGAGTACATTTTTGGTCCAATCCGAGCAACGAGGCCCTTTTCAATGCCCGGCTCACAGTCCTGCGCAACAGACAAGGGGAAACCACACCGAATAGTCCCAGGAAACTTTACGACCACCCCCGGGATCGAGCCTGGGACTTCCTAGTTAGTGAGTCGTCAGCGCCTTGCTCACCGAACCTGTGACCGTCAGTGTGAGAAATGATCGAGATGACTCTCTCTCTCTCTTTCCCCCTCTTCCTTACTCTCTTCCTGTCTCTATCAACCTCGTCGGTTTTCTCCGGGTCCTCCGATTTCCTCCCACTGCTAAAGACCCCTACGCGCAAGCGAATGATTGAAATAAAATTAAACCATATGTTAGTCCCGAAATGACCTAGTTTGTGTCGAGTGGACGTTAAACCCCATTTCATTCTCTCTCTTGTAAACTAAGGGGGGTTGGATGGCCGAATGGTTAACACGATGTGCGGTGTATCATTAGATCTGTCATGGAGTCAAGTGGCGTGGTTTCGGTTGCTTGTCCAACGTCGTGGGTTTTCTCCGGGTCCTCCGGTTTCCTTCCTACTGTTCGTCCCAAAATGACCTAGTTTGTGTCGAGTGGACGTTAAACTCTCTCTCTCTCCTGTCTCTTCCTCTCTCTCTCTCTTTCCCTCCTCTAACTCCTTCGCCGTATCCCCCCTCCTCTATTTCTCCTTGCTCTCTCTCTCTCTCTCTCGCCCCTCCTCTCTCTCCCTCTGACAGTGAGATATGATTGAGATGACTCTCCCCCTCTCTCGCTCTCTTCCTCTCCCTCCTTCCTTCTCTCTCTCGCTCTCCGTCTCTCTCTCCCTCTGACAGTCTCACCTCTTCTCTCTCCCTGCGGCAGTGAGATATGATTGAGATGACTCTCTTCCTCTCCCTCCTTCCTTCTCTCTCCGTCTCGCTCCTCCTCTCTCTCTCTCTCCCTCTCCCCTCCCCTCTCTTTCTCCCCTCCCCTCTCTCTCTCCCTCTGACAGTGAGATATGATTGAGACGACTGAGTTATAATAAGATGTTAAATATATAATAAATATACAATAGATAGTTAAAACTACACCAAGACTACAATAAAACACCTGACCAGGTCCCTTCTTTTATCTCTGTAGGAGGCCAGGTAACTACAGACAGACTCTAATAAAACCCCTTAAACCATCCATCAGTCCCCTGTCACCGGTATATCTATATAGGCTTCAGGGGGATTCTGTAATGAAGAATGTTAAGTATGTTTTGACTGGGGACGGGACAGTTGAAATTAATACTTCATGTATTAAATGGTCCGGCATTGAGTTGTAAATAACGCTGTAAATGATCTGGATAGAAAAAGGGGGAGGAGTTAACAAGTTGAATGTCCGGCGTTGTAAGGGAGAGAGGAGTTTTAACTGGGGACAAGACAGAAGAAATTAATACCCAATTTATTAAATGGTCCGACATTGATTTGTAACAAATGCTGAAAATCATCCGGATAGAAAATGAGGGGGGGGGGGAGAGGAGTCAATGTGTCATACCTTCTAAAAGTTGAATGTCCGGCGTCGAAAGGGAGAGAGGTGTTTTAACTGAAGAAATTAATACCCCATTTGTTAAAGGGCCCGGCATTGAGTTGTAACTAACGATTTAAATGGCCCGGGGAGAAAGGGGAATGAAGACGGGTATATGCCATGCAGTATGCTATCAGGGGAATTTTGCCCAGACAGCGACACTACAGCCTACTCTTATTTCGAATTCCAACTGCCAAAGGTTGTTTTACTACTTGGAGACGTGTACGCGGGACCGCGGTTTCTCGTCCAACCCCAACGACTAGACACTGTTCCTGGTCAGGTCCCCCGTCTTGCATCACTGACATGGCATTGAGAGTTGATTATAGTCTGGATAAGTTAATTTATATAGCATTTCAGGCCTAAAGAAAAACCTGCAATTGGCAGATTTAGCTCTTGCATAATGTATATTTAATTTAAAGTCATTGAAAAAATGTAGTTGGCCAGTGCAGTGGTTTTAGTAAATGGACGTACTAAAAATTATTGTGGCGTAGGCTTAAACTAAATAAAATTACAGATAGGGTAGGGGGCAGGGGTCCCTGGTCCCGCGAGTGGCCCCACTATAGGCGTGAGAAACGTTTTGAAGAACTAACGACTGTAAATGATATTTTCCGGAGGTTTATCCAGAGTGCTTGCGCACGGGCTCTATCCACCCATTCTGTACACATAGATCCATCTTTTTGCTTTTCGAGGACATTTCGCTTGTGACCGTATCGTTCATGAAAGCCCGCTAAAAACCACGTGCTCGCATTCTCTCCTTTGTTCTTCTCGTGGTCATTTCGTTTGTGACCGATATCTGTCGTTCATGACTGTTAAGACTCCAGGTGGATGGCAAGAAACAGATTCAAGGGAGATAATCCAAATTAACAACACAGTTTGCTTTCAAAATAAAACCTCTATTTATTTCAATGTTCATATAATAATAAAACAGACAGACAACATCTGAATGTATTGTAAAATATTTGATCAACCATAAATGTATTCTTAAACAAGTAAATAATAAACAAAAGCAAACAAAATATTTAGTAAAGGCAGTGTTAATGGATTTCACCCAAGAGCTAAAAAAAAAAGAAGCAAAAAACACGCTGCTCAATCACTTAATAAAAGAAATGAAATGGATTTTAACAACCCTAGTTTTCGGAACCAATGGACATGGGCTTATCCCATGTAGTGTGCTATGAGGGGAATTTTGCCCCAACAGCAGCACTACTATCAAATCTTGCTTTGAGATTCAATTGTCAGAGATTCCATAATGTGATGCCAATGATTTCCGGTCGACCTCGGGTTATTCGTGTCATTCCAACCACTAGACATTCCGTCACACATGACCATACTGGCAAGTCACATGACCATACTGGCAAGTCACATGACCATACTGGCAAGTCCTGAGGAACTTTCTCGACTAACAATGGGGTTGAACCCAAGACTGCCATATTGAGGGGGTTGAACCCGAGACTGCCATGTTGAGGGGTTTGAACCCGAGACTGCCATGTTGAGGGGTTTGAACCCGTGACTGCCATGTTGAGGGGTTTGAACCCGAGACTGCCATGTTGAGGGGTTTGAACCCGTGACTGCCATGTTGAGGGGGTTGAACCCAAGACTGCCATATTGAGGGGGTTGAACCCGTGACTGCCATGTTGAGGGGTTTGAACCCGAGACTGCCATGTTGAGGGGGTTGAACCCGAGACTGCCATGTTGAGGGGTTTGAACCCGTGACTGCCATGTTGAGGGGTTTGAACCTGAGACTGCCATGTTGAGGGCTTTGACCCCGAGACTGCCATGTTGACAATCTGATTAAAATACAGATCTATATTTTGTTTCGTTTTTTTATACTTTCAATAGCCTACACTACATGAAGCTCTTACCGGTTCTAGCAATAGGTCGCATCAGAGATCATACGAGCGGCTTTTGATCCTATGACGTCAAAAATTTGATTTACCAATTAGCGTTGATGTTTCTAGTGGGTTACCCATAGTTCTGTGCAACTCATGGCAAAAACTCACCATAACAAATCGTTTCATTGGCTAAACCCTCACATATCCAGAACGCAGGTTATATAACAACTCTTCCAGATCCTAGTGTAGTAAAGGCAAGTAAAACAAAATTTTTAACTATAGGAAATGAAATGGGGTTTAACGTCCTACTGTTCTACTCTGAACTGGGCATACGCCATACATTCTGCTATGAGGGAAATTTTGCCCGGACAGCGGCACTACAGCCTACTCTTATATCGAATTCCAACTGTCAAGGGATCTTTTACTTACAAGCCAATGTGTAATCGAGACCTCGGTTTTCGTCCCATCCAAACGACTAGACAGCTGTCCTTGTAAAAATGAAATAGGATCTGTGTTTTAATCCAATTGAACCCAAGACTGCCATGTTGTGGTCATGTCTTGACAGGAGTGATATAAGCTTAAAGAATTTTAACATTAAACTATGTCAACATGTCTGATCTACAGACATTTCTATTTCTTACAAACTTCTCTTAAATTTTAATCTATCTGTTAATAACAACAGAGTATTTCTAAACATAAATAATCATGTAAAAACAAACTGGGAATCCAAACACTTTAAAGGAGTATTGTAAAATGAAACAAAAAATTTCCACATAATGCCAACCAATTCCATCGAATCTCAACCAATTCCATCTAGTCTTAACTAATCCCATCTAGTATCAACTAATCCCATCTAGTATCAACTAATCTCATCTAGTATCAACTAATCTCATCTAGTCTCAACTAATCTCATCTAATATCAACTAATCTCATCTAGTATCAACTAATCTCATCTAGTCTCAACTAATCCCATCATTATTTTCAACAATTTTATTGCAAATTTTGGAATTATGAGGGAAGATGAGGCTCCTCTGATCTTCAGGACCTTTTGCTTAAGCAGAGAGAGAGAGAGAGAGAGATGGGGTTTAACTCTACTTGACACAAACTAGGTCATTTCGGGACTAACATATGGTTCAATTTTATTTCAATAATTAGCTTGCATGTAGGGGTCTTTAGCAGCGGGAGGAAACCGGAGGACCCGGAAAAAACCCCCACGAGGTTGGACAGGCGACCCTACCTGGTAAATCAGACACTGGGTAGAATACTAGCAGACGAAAACTGGAAGCAGCAGTCCAGCGCAAACCTGGCCCAAGTTCCTCCCTGGTCTGAGCTACACTTATACACCAAATTTCAGCCCCAGGACAGCCCTAGAGTAGCCGCCAACCCTGAACAAGCAGACAAACAACAGTGACAAATATTAGTATAATATAACAATATGTGCTTCACACAGTGTAACGCAAAGCTAAAATAAAAGACCCAAAACACCCCCATAATAACAAATAAATGAAAAACAACAATAAAGATATACACGGTAAAATATCAGAATTTGTAGAGGAGATTAATACACACGAGATCAGAGATATATGGCTCCTAAAATAAAATAAGTTCTTTGTTCCAAGCTCTGAAATAATATATCGTTAAATAAATATCATAGTAACCAGGCCCCGAGTAAACAACGCATTCTCAATCCAGTAAACATCGCAGGCTAGTGATGACATCGAGAGTTGATTATGGTCTTTTCATGTTCATAAATGTCTAATTAATAATTTATATAACATTTTAGGCCTAAAGAAAGGCTCTTGCATAATGTATGTTTAAGTTAAGAAATTACTCAACTTTCAATCACTGTTTATGAGAAATATCTTTGATCCAGAAACACAAAACTTTGCACATAGTTTCTTATTGATGTATTTGATACATTAAAACAACAAAAGTCTTATAAAGGGCTATATTTTAGTTAAAATAAGACAAACAATTTTGTGTAAATTCTTAACTTAAGTCTGAAAATGCTGTGACAATATCCTTTAATGTTGGTGTACCATTATTTCCAATAATGTATGGGCAACTTGTCAATCGTACATTATCTATACTAGATGAAATATTGGACTCGCGTGACGTTTTTGGGATAGTGTCTGTATTTTAAGCTGTTTAATGGTCTCGAGCTAAAGACATTGCGTAATATATTGAAACAACACTCGGCTAACGCCTCATGCAGTATCAATATATTTTAATGTCTCGCTCTCAACCATTAAACAATACATAATCAAACAGCTGTTATTAATACTTTAGATAATATAGCATTATAATTAAACAGCTATAGATATAAACAGTTGGCATTAATACTATGGATAATATAGCCTTATAAGAAGTTGGCTGTTTAATATCACTGTAACATTGATATCAAGCAACAAATAACTGTTATAAATGAAAATATACGACACTAATAGATCAAAGTCATTAGTTTATATACATGATGTGTATTAGTTAGTTAAAATTGTTAGTAATCAAGCAGTAGTCATTAAGTAGGTGTTTTGCCACTAAGGTGTTAAAACTGTGACTATTGAATGATATACACCACTATTGTCCAGGTTTGTGTATTCAATAGTGATGAGTGCTATAATTCCTCACGCTTTTGCACAAGTAGTGACATCCTTTACAGCTAGTTAGAAATTCTAACCACTTTCTATACATACTAAACATTAGTTTAGAATATTGACCACTTATATGATTTAATGACAAAACTTGTCATTACTAAAAGGCCTAGCTTCATTAGTCAACGGTATCAGATCAGATTACACGTGTATAGCATTATAATTAAACAGTTATAGACAGATTATCCTTATAATTAAACATTTATTAGTAACACTATAAATAACATAGCATTATAACTTAACACCTGTTATAATTAAACAGCTTTCATTAATAACATAATAAATAAACAGGTAAAATTATACGATAATAATTAAACATGCACCAAACGTTTAAAGTTGTAAAACTTGAATTAAATTCAACGATAAATAAAGGATTATTATATCTTAAAATAATATATTTTTACTTGTAGATTTCATCTCCTCCAGATATGCACAGCACATATCTTGACCTTTCTTGTAGGTATACTAACCCTGTTCGGGGATGGGAGACATGTTGGCTCAGTGAGTAGGATGTTGGCTTGCTAGCCTGTTTGTTCACTGTGTTGGTAGAAACAGTTCTAGGGGTATTCCGGCATGGTTCCTCCTTGTCAGTGGTGTGGCACGGAGGGCCTGGCAAGAGACAATGTATAGTCCATTATTTCAACTGTCAAGGGTTCTTTTATGCGCAAGCCAATGTTTACACGGGACCTTGGTTTATCATATTGTTCGAACAACTAGACACTTTGGTCTGCACCGTTCTCAACCAACATGGAATGAACCCATGACCTTCTGGTTAGCAAGTCAATGCATTATACACTGAGCCGACAGGGCTTCCCGAGATGAAGGCCAAGATAAGATGCAAAAGGCGCCAAAATAATATGCAGAACGTGCCAAGAAAATAAGCAGAAGACATAAACAATACACAATAATTCATATGATATGTTTACTAATCTCAACATTATAAAATAAAATATATCTAACCCTCAGTTTACGGCCTAAACTTTAGGCTACCCCAAATTGAGATTTTTTTCTTCAGAAAGACCTTTTAAAATATTGCTTCTTATGTCTTGGCGGGAAAGATAATAATTTAAAAAACCCAAAGATACTAGGATGCTCTTCTCAAAAACTTTTAGCAAAATATTTTAATTTTTGAAATCTTTTAACATACCATTTATCAAGGCCCAATGAATTCGAGATTAGGAATGTATCAGCCGATTTCTAGAACTGCTTGCGCTCGGTGCCTAAACATCTTCTTACAACAGTTCAAACGTAACAATTTCGAACACCGATCAACAGGATTTAAGACATTAGATCTATAGCATATTGAAAGAAGGAATAGGAACAGTAATGGGAAACCGAACGCCATGTTGCTGGGGCTCAGCTGAAAATATGAATTTGAAAATAGTTTTTTTCTTTTCACTTATACTATGGATCTTTTTTATAATGTATTTTTAGGTCCATGCTTAAACCTAGATTTTAACTATTCAATAGGAAAAACATAAAAGTTTCAAATCTGAGTAATTCTAATGCCGAGTAAAAAATATATATGATTATGTTTCCAAAAACGATGAATTTGTGAATTTTTCCGTGAGATTTAAAACAGATCTTGGATTGTGATGATTCTATAATGTAAGGGTCTTGGGTTTCTCCCACGGAAATTCTTCTCTTCCAAAATGTCCGTAACACGATGTTTTAAAATATATTGGTCTGCGTAGATCTAAATCTCTAAAAAAAAAAAAAAGAAATTTGATTTAAAAGTCAGTTATAACACCGACAATCCTGTTTTAAAAAGAGTCATTTTAGACATTCTGTATCCCATCCTCAGTATCCCCCTTTATCCGCCGTATTCCCAGTGATCCTCGGAATCCCCAGTAATCCTGGGTATCACCAGTGATCCTGGGTCAGTGATCTTCGGTATCTCCAGCGGTATCGCTCTGTTCCACTCCACGATACCTTGGGTTCATTCACAGAGTTTTCACAAATCCAAATTATCTGATCCTAATCGGAGAATCAAGTACAGATTAGAAGATTTAGGGTGATTTTCAATGATTTTTTAAACAAAGATTTGATATTGAATGAATGTGAAAGAAATTAGTGCTAGATACACAAGATTAAATGATACCCGGGTTACGGTGACAACTTATGTCACTTCCCATATTAAAAGTTTAAATGTCTACCAATATAATAATCTTACTTGACAAATTGAGCTGGTCTCATATCAAAATTCTTGTATAAAATATTCAACAACTCAGCATCGGGTCTAACACCAGTTCCATAACTAAAAACAGTTACACTAACAGGTTCGGCTACACCAATAGAATACGCTAACTGTAATATACAATAGAATACGCTAACTGTAATAGACAATAGAATACGCTAACTGTAATAGACAATAGAATACACTAACTGTAATAATAGACAATAGAATACGCTAACTGTAATGATATACAATAGAATAAGCTAACTGTAATAGACAATAGAATACGCTAAATGTAAAAATAGACAATAGAATACGCTAACTGTAATAATATACAATAGAATAAGCTAACTGTAATAATATACAATAGAATACGCTAACTGTAATAATAGACAATAGAATACGCTAACTGTAACAGACAACAGAATACGCTTACTGTAATAAAACAATATACAATAGAATATGCTAACTGTAATAAAACAGTAGAAATAAAACAGGTGTTAACGTCCAACTTTTCTTTACCAACTGGGTGTTTGTTGTGCAGTATGCTTTGAGGGAACGTTCCGCCGGACAGTGACACTATGAAATAACTCTTTATTTTGATATCCAACAGTCAGAGGATTTATAACGTAACATGATAATGAAGTGAACAGTGATACATATAAACACTATACAGTGTGGAATGACAGAAATTTAGCCCAGGCAGCGATGCTACGCCTAACTCTTAACAAGAGGGAACCATGCCAGAAAATCATGAAGAACTTTCTCGGCCAACATGGGAAGCGACCCTGTGACATCCTGGATAGTAAACCAGCGTGTTTCTCAGAGACACCGTGGCTCCAGAAATGATAATTTAGCTCTTTAATGCAATTTCACAAACAGATTTTTTATTCCCGTGTCAATAATACTAGCCACCTACCTGAACTAAAACTTGTTTACAAAGACCAGCTTTGACGAGAGATTTGGCCATCCATCTGGCACCATACGAGGCACATCTATCTATCTTGGTACCATCTTTACCCGACAAGGCACCTCCACCATTTGCGCCCCATCCTCCATACGAATCAACTATAACTTTCCTACCAGTTAAACCAGCATCACTCTAGAAATACAAAAATAATGAGAGAGAGAGAGAGAGAGAGAGAGAGAGAGAGAGAGAGAGAGAGATTAACCATACTCACATTGTATATGGATCAATTTTACAGTAAACTTCACATAAGTCTGATGTAAGTGGACTGGCCAATTTTTTATCTAAGTTAAGCAAAGATCTGAGTTTGCCGAAGACTGAAATTCAATCTTAGTCCGATTAAAAATAAACTGCAAGAGCCGGATAATAATTGATTCAAAGGCACATTTCAAACATTTGTTCATGTGTGCGAGTAGATAACTTCCGTTTTGTCGCCATCTTTGAAAAATGTCCTCATTTTTCCTGGAAAGTGTCTCGTACAGCAGACAGCGAATTTCAAATTTTCCTGGAAAATTCTATTATTGCTTCACGTCAAATAGGCTGATTTGAGTTAAAATGAAAGGGGAAAGTATTTGGGTGCTCTGTGCATGGAATACCTAACCAAATTCGGAACATACTGCCGATCCGACTTAAGTGAAGGAAAAAACCCGGAATTAGATCAAATAGACCGAACATTTTGATCCAAGTTGAGCAAAGATCCGACTTAGGAAATCTGACTTACCCGCAGAAAGACAAGCAGGATCGCAGGATCAAAGGGTCCACACGATTTTATCTGAGTTGAGCGAAGATCCGGCTTATACGAATCCCGACTCATGTGAGGTTTACTGTATTTCAATAATTTAGTTGCATGTATGGGTATTTACAATGTAGCAGTAGGAGGACCAGGAGAAAACCCACAAGATTGGGCAAGCAACCACATACCTTGTCGGGATCGGAATCACTCCACTTGAGTGAGATGTTTCAGGACTAACATATAGTAACCTCTTGATCAGAGGTGTTAAACATGCGGCCAAAGGTTCAAATGTGGCCAATGGAACAAATTTCAACAACTGACGTGTTGATTATTCTTAGAAACTAGCAGTGGTAATCATTTATCAGTATAACTATGACGTCTGTACTATATGTCATAGATATCTAAGTTGTATGTAATACAAGAGATGGTAATTTGGAAACCAATCAAGGACGTTTGGCTTTGTTTTTAGAGTTTTTGTATATCTCCGGCTCACTTGAGGTAAAAGTTTAGTTAATGTGGCCCCTGAATCAAAATGAGTTTGACACCCCTGTTCTAAATATTCAATGATAATAAGAGAGAGAGAGAGAGAGAGGTGGGTATTTAGCTCTTGGGGGAAACTGGAGGACACATAGAAAACCCACGAGGTTAGGCAGGCAATCGTAATCGCACTCCTTGTCACGTACAAACACCAATCTGATTAAAACACAGATCTCATTTCGTTTCTTTTTTACAGATTTTTATAACGCGCATTCTAGATGATGCGAGGGATTAGCCAATGAAACGGCCTGTTACAGCGAATATTTGGCGTGAGGTGCACGGAACTGTGGGTAGCCCACTAGAGACATCAACGCTGATTGGTTGATCAAATGTCTGATGTCATAGGTTCATAAGCCAGTGGACGATGGTAATGGCACAATATAAAAAGGGTTAGGGTCGCCATTATTACCTAAATTCCCGAGATCTCTGTCAGTTATGAGTTCAGACCTTTAAATAAATAATTAAATTAAAGTATGACAGGTAATAAAAGTGTTTATAATAGAAAGGGTGTTATAGAGAGATGGGGTTTAAAATTCACTCAAAACAAACCTGTTCATTTCAAGACTAACATTTAATTCGATTTCAATAATGTGCTTGTAGTGGGAGGAACCAGAGGCCCTGGAGAAAATGTGGCGCTACAGCCTACTCATTTTTTTTTTTGAATTCCATATGGTTGCTAAGTGGGTAAGACGCTGGAGGTCGCGTGTTTGATCCCTGCATTGGCCTAGTAAGTTCATCATTGGCTTGCACGTTAAAAGATCCTTTGGTAGTTGGAGTTCGATATAAGAGTAGGCCATAGTGCCACTGCCCGGGCGAATTTTCCCTCATAGCATACTGTATGGTGTTTGCCCGTCTTCATTAGCCCGGGCAAAATTTCTCTCATAGCACATTTTCGTATGTCAAGGGTTCTATAACATGCCTGTCAATATGAACACAAGACCTCATTTTTCAACCCATTCAAATGACTAGACACAAATAAAATACCAACCTGAGGTCCACCTATAATAAATCTTCCGGAGGGTTGAATATGGTAGATTGTTTCATCTGTTAGATATCTACTAGGTATCACAGTATTTATAACTTTATTACGTAATTCTTGACGTAGTGTTTCCATGGTTACATGTTCATCATGCTGAAGGGAGATAACTACCGTATGTACATGTACAGGTACCATAGCGTTGTGTACTTTCTTATATTCAACTGTTACCTGTAATAAAAATATAGATTGATAAAATAAACGAGGGAGAGCAAAGCCATGCGGTGGCTCAGAGTGCATGGCGTCAGCTAGCTTGTTAACAAGACGGTCCATGTTCAATCCCAGTGTACAAAATTTCATAAAGATATCTTGAATGAATTATGAGATATGCTTCGGAAACAAAATAGGAAAGGATGGACGGATATAGACACTCCTCTCTAATATTGTTTGTTGTGGGTTACCAATATGAGAAATAAAAGAAAGAGAGGGGGGGGGGGTGGCAGGGTCTTAAATAAGGTTAAATTCTCGCAGCACAGATTCTGTTTCTTTTTCACTTTGTGGTCCGTTACCTTTGCTCGACCATCGAGGGGAGTTTTGTTCATATCAAGCTATGGTTCCCCATCCATATTTCAATACTTAAAATCGCAGATAATATCAAATATTGGTGAAAATTATGTAAAAAAACCCACCCTTTTTAAAGTGAAAATGATGACGGTTAAGGATGCAGCGGATCGAATATCAAGCCTACTGAAAAACCTGACTAATGAGCAGATGCAGAAGGCGTTCACTCGACTTATCCAAGAGTGTTGATCGAGCGCCATCTGATCTGATCAGATCTATGCAACTGACCACCACAAGACGCAACACTCATTAGGGGTCAGGAGGCATCGCCACCTTACACTTTTTCAGAGCAAGGTTTCTTATTTTCGAAGCACTGATTATTCATTTCGAAGCACGTTCGTGCTCCAAGGAACGTTTGTTAGGCCCTGGGGTCTGGTTTAATGTACACAACACAAACTGTCAGACACATGAATATTCATTAGGCCTGTATAACGCTCGTGCAGTGAGAGGGCGTCTAGTTCCCCATGTTTATGTAGATTATCATTTTTATGTATGTAAACATGAAAGGTAGACGACATCTGATAACTGGATAAAGAATATATAATTATTGTTAATCTTAATTTAACACAAACTATTTCAGGATTAACACATGATGCAATTTTATTTCAACAATTCGCTTGCGCATAGGGATCCTTAGGTGTGGAACGAAAGGGAGGACCCAGAGAAAACCTACGAGGTTTGGCAGGTCAACCTTACGCGTCACGTACAAGTATGGGTTTGAAGTGTTAGACCATTCTGCTACCCAACCTCAACTGAGAAACAAAAACATGTATATTAAACATACATTATGACGTCACATTAATAATGACGTCATTGTATTAATCATATTAAACATATTATGCCTATTGCAGGTCTTTCTTTAGGCCTGAAATGTTATCTAAATTATTAATTAGATATTAATTAAACATACATTATGCAAGAGCTAAATCTGCCTATTGCAATTCTTTCTATATAGGCCTGAAATGTTATATAAACTATTAATGAGACATTTATTAAACATACATTATGCAAGGGCTAAATCTGCCTATTGCAGGTCTTTCTTTAGGCCTGAAATGTTATCTAAATTATTAATTAAACATTAAATAACATATCCAGACCATAATCAACTCTCGATGTCATCGCTAGCCTGCAATATTTACTGGATTAGGATCCAATTTGCTGCTCAACTTTCATTTATGATTAAATCATGAAATGGATAATCGAGACTATGTTTTTTTTTATTGTATCGACTTTAGTAATGATGATCAAGGCAAGACCGTAAATTCAATCGCTAAATTCTCGGTTCAGAGTGGATCAATTTGACTGAAATTTTCATCAAATTCCCTTTACATTGCCAGCTCTTTATCTAATCTAACATAATGTATCTTTAAAGACGCTGCATCGCTAATATTTAGAAATTAACACAAATGGGTCGTAACGTATATAATAATGTAATATGAATGTATATTATATAAACTGATTTAAATCCAATCGTTTCTGTTTTTACAAATCCGTTCTGTTCTGCTAAATAAGCCAGAAGTCTCAATCGAATGGCAATCTCTATCCTCTGGTTATTCCAGTCTATTGCGCATGCTCTCCAGATAAGAATATGGCGTCACCATTTGACAAGATTTGTGGAATATGTCAAGCCTCGTTCTTACTTGTCCCTTGTTACAAATGGCACTGAAACACATTATTCATGTACCAATGGTAAAATGTTTATTTTGTTTTAAATATTGGATATCAGAAGCCCATCTTTTCAAAGTAAGATAGCAACATCAATATTGATTTGAATTGACAAATAATTTGGAATTAAAATGAAATGAAATGGGGTTTAACGTCCTACTACTGCTCCGACTGGGCTAATGAAGACGGGCATACACAATACAGTGTGCTATGAGGGAAATTTTACCCTGGCAGCGGCACTATCGCCTACTCTCATATCGAATTCCAACTGCCAGGGGATCTTTTACGTGCATTCCAGTATATACACAGGACCTCGGTTTTCCGTCTCATCCGAAGGACTAGACAGCTATCACTGACAAGGGGAAACCACGCCGGACAAATAATTTGGAAGACTTTGGATGATATTGAGTATTTTAAATAAGACAGATAGTCAATACATGTATGAATAGAGAATATATTTACTACCGAACCAGCTTGTATTGATCGCTGATCTAAATCAACCAGTTCACCAGTGGCCATATTAAACTGGTTTCACTCAGTTCAAACTTCTTCATACATTTTCTAAATAATTAGAAAACAATTATATGAAAAATCCAGTAGACATTCTAGTGCCTAGATCGCTCAACGACCACTAACCCACAAGCCTGGAAATAAGGCACCTGTCACAGACAATGTCAAGCAGAGATTCAGGCTTCATCAGGCACTAAACCATTGTCCGGCACCAATTTGTCTTTTTTATTGATATTATTAATGCATGTTCGGCACTAAGTTGAAAATGTCAGGTACTATTTCATTAGTGCTTGACATTTTGTCAGGCACATCTAAAACCGTTAGAGAGAGAGAGAGAGAGAGAGAGAGAGATGGGTTTAATGTCCACTTGGCACAAACTAGGTCATTTCGTCACTTTTGCAGTGGCAAGAAAGCGGAGGACCCAGAGAAAACCCATGAAGTTGGACAGACGACCCTACTCCTTGTCACATACAACAGGGGAATCGAAACCACACCAGTTGACTCAATGACAGACCTTATTATACAGCGTGCACACCAGGGCTGCCGACAACCAGTATCGCAGCGCAATTTGCGATACATATTTTGTCCGTTGCTAACCAAAAATTAAAATCTAACGTTTTTGATTCGCAGTTACTGCGAATCATCAATATGCCTGTCATTTTGGATATTGACACAAGAATAATCCACATTTTGAAGACTAGAAGGCTTACTCAACACTTTCAACGTGTATAAAATGTTGAATAAAATTTTATAAACAAAACTGAATTCTCCGTGTGACATTTTCTTCTCGAACTACCAGACACAATACTATATAACACATAACTCTATGAATAGGGACTATTAAACCGGAAATAGGGAATCAAGTAGTACCACTCACGTTGCGAGACATCAAGTAATTATATCATATTCATTTTGAAAGAAATAAATCCAATGTATCCCCCACGTATTGTAAATAAAATATAAAAAAATAAATACATGTTAACGTATTGTAAAATGATAAATCAAAGTAAAAATTCCCGTAAAACATTATTGTTTATATCGTGTGTGTCTAGTTAATCGAGGTGTGTCCGATTGAAGAAAAATAGTAATACACAATAAAAAGCAGACGAAATTGTTTTCTAACGAAGATTTCTAACGTAACAAAAAAATAACAATTAAAATGAGTGGGGCTTCGGAAGTCACTGTCAAGAATTGGCTTCAGACATAAGACCTAACTAAATTTCTACATCACATTCACAAACTGTCACAAGTACTTGTGGCAGTGCTAAAAAATCTAAGAATAGTCAGAATGGAATCTAATCATATTTGTTATGAGCTAAAGTAATATCTTGTTATTTAGGTGTTTTACATTGAAACTGAAAAACTGCTAATCAATTTTTAAATTTGCTAATCAAATTTGGCGAAATTGGACTTTTTGATTAGCAGTGCTGCTAATCAACTGTGAAAAATTACCGACAGCCCTGGTGCACACGCTAAACATTCGACCATTCAACAACCCCGCTTTTAAACATATAACCAGTTTACAGTCGTAAGAAATATGCAATCGGATTAGAATACAGATCTATATTTCGTTTTGTTTTTTTATACTTTCGATGACCTACACTACATGAAGATCTGACAAGTTATAGCGATAGGTCACGTCATGGGTCAAAAGATCGACTTATCACACTATGATGTCAGATATTTGATTAACCAATCAGCATTGATGTTACTAGTGGATTACCCACAGTTCCGTGAAAAATATGCCTAAAGCTCGCCGTAACAGACCGTTTCATTGGCTTATCTCGGACACCGTTCAGAACACGAGTTAAATAACAACTCTTCCAGATCCAAGTGTAGTAAAGACAAGTAAAACGAAATTTTGAACTATAAAAACGAAACGAAATAGGATCTGTGTTTTAACCAGATTGAAGAAATATGCTTAGCAATTTAATTATTTGTACTGGAACAATTCTGTCTGGCCTACCTGTGTTTTTGAGTCTGGTCTTGCCCATGGTAAACCCCCATCACGACGTAATTGAGCTATTTTAGCATTAAGTTGATGTGATAGTACAACTGTTAATGGCATACATTCTTCTGTTTCATCTGTAGCATAACCAAACATTAAACCCTGAAATATTACAATATTTATTGTAAACACTCTGAAATATTACAACAATTACTGTAAACTCTGAAATATTACAACAATTACATTAAACTCTGAAATATTACAACAATTACTGTAAACATTAATTTGGAAAAATTGTAAAAATTACATAAAACACAGACAACAAACCGGGCCCTTATTCACGAAAACTTAAACTAAGATACAATCGAAATTTTAAGAATACTGCAATTCGATTGGCTGACCAATATGCAAATTGGATATATGCAAATTGATTTTACTGGTCAGCCAATCGAATTGCAGTATTTCTTAAAATTTCGATTGTATCTTAGTTTAAGTTTTCGTGAATAAGGGCCCAGAGTTCCAAATACCTAACACATTCGATTTTATGAAAAAAATTTTCAGAACATTTTTGTTGGTGATGTTTGAACATGCAGACGGGGAACAAATTGATCAGAACAATGTTTTCATGAATGTTCGGCTAAAATGTCCCATTTACTCATCAAGCGTGTTCGGCTTTAGACAATTCACTATCGATTAACATAATTCCAAGATATTTGAGGTGTAGTCATGAATACTCTCGTAGTTGTTATAAATTATATTTGAGGTGTTGCCATGGTTCACAGGTTATAAATCATTTCATATAAATATGTGGTTAAATTTTACCTGATCACTGGCAGGAGTATTTTCATCTAGACTTTTACAAGATTCTCCACGTTTATTTTCATTCATTGACAGAAGAACGTTACACGTTTTATGATCAAAACCTGAAAAATATAAAAATATAAAGGTGCAACTCAACAAGTGTGATGAACAGATTGACAGACAGAGTGAAACAGTTTCCTGTTTTTTTGGGAGAGGCGGGGACAACAAATAACTAAGATGTCCCATGTACGATCTCGGTGTTGGGCGAAACAAGTTCTTCAGAATTATCAAGCCTGTAAGCGGTGCCAAGTTAATGTGTCTAGTTGCGTGGATATGAAAATCTGAGGTCTTGCCACAAACAAGGACAAATTCTGTGTGTAACTTTTCAAAATCAAATGATCAGTTAAGAGAGAGAGAGAGAAATGGGGTTTAACGTCCACTTGACACAAACCAGGTCATTTCGAGACTAACATATGGTTTAATTTTATTTCAGTAATTCGCTTGCACGTAGGGGTCTTTAGCAGTGGGAGGAAACCGGAGGACCCGGAGAAAACCCACAAGGTTGGACAGGCGACCCTGCTTCTTGTCACATACAACCAGGGAATCGAAACCATGCCAGTCGACTCAATGACAGACTTTATGATACAGCATGCGCACGTGCTAACCATTCGGCCATCCAACCCTCCGATCAGTTAAGAGGTTCTGGGTTCGATCCTAGGGTTGGCCAGGATTTTTTTGTTCAGCCTGTTTTCCCTTGTAAGAGGTGCAGGAGGTAATATGTCTAGTTGTTTGGATGGTACAAAAATCTCAGGTCTTGTAACTTTTCAATACAAATTATAAATTGGGAGGTCCTGGGTTTGATCCCGGGGGTGTTGGGAAAGTTTATCCGGAGTTTTCAGTGTGGTCCCAACTGAAATTTATGTGTAGGATAAAGCACGAGACTGAGGTTATGCTGGGGAAAGAAAGACTGAAGAAAATAACCAGAGAAAAAGAAAAACTGAGGGTTTATTCTGAAGTCTTTCTTCCCCAGCATAACCGAAGTCGAGGACTTTATCTTGCTTATAAACCGTGTATGTTCACATGTACGCAAGATGAGAATATCCCAGAATTCCCGTAAGAAAAACCTTATTTCATGTTTTCTTATGGAAAAAAAACCTACCCTGGAAGAATAATTCGGTACAGGTTTAAAGAAAATCTTTCAGAAAAATAACCCCAAGTTTTCCTGTATATATCCAAAGCCGCCCCGGACTTTCAGACCGCAAGTTATTCCGGGCATAGTATATACCCCAAAGATCAAAGAGATTTACCGTTATAGGTTTATAATGGTGGATAAAGTATAAACCTACTTACCACTATCAGAACTACTATAACCAATATGTTCTACCGTCGACCTAACAACTCTCTGATAATCAATGTTAGCATTCGACAATAATTCTCCCATCACAAACACCATACCAGTCTTCGTTAAACATTCACAGTTGAGTTGAGTGTAAGGATCTTGTTGTAAACAGGCATCTAACACTGCATCACTCACTTGATCACATAATTTATCTGAAATAAATAAACAACATGCCACATTTCGGCCTTAGGCTTGTTTTAAAAACATGGTGGACATTGGCCTTAATTTTGAATTCTTAATGTCACATTATAGACCATTCATATATCACATTGGCCTTATTTTGAATTCTTAATATCACAATGACCTTAATTTTGAATTCTTAATATCACATTGACCTTGATTTTGAATTCTTAATATCACATCACTGTTAATTTTGAATTCTTAATGTTATATTGGCCTTAATTTTGAATTCTTAATGTTACATTGGCCTTAATTTTGAATTCATTAAATTCACGGTGGAGATGCCATTGATGGATGGCCTATGTCACATTGGCTGTTAATTACATCATTTGGCAGTACATCGATGAATGGTAACAACATAATAATTTCACCACATAGCTATCAGGCTTGGGAGAGAGTCAGAAATGACTTAAGAATTATATTGCCAGTAATGGTTCAGATCCAGAGCTCCAAGACTTCGTTACTAAAAAAGTAACTAGGTTCAGCTGTGAGTGTCACTGAATATATTTTCCTCACTGACAATCTTAAAAATTTAAAGCTAATAAAAATGCCGTTTTTCTTTCAAGAGAGTCAATATCGATAAACCAAGTTTAAAATTTTAAATATAGCGATTAGTTTATATTCCGATTCGCCTACAATACAAAATAAATACACACTAGGCCTACATGCAGAAAAGATGATCGAGAACAGGAATGCGAAACAATTACGAATTCGAGAAATCATCCGGTTTTAAAATAAATCATTACCGTACGATTCATTTCAAATACAGTAAAATTACCTGGATGGCCTTCACCAACGGATTCTGAAGTGAAAAGGAAGGTATCCGGGTGATTGTTTTCCATTATCTTTGAGGATTTTCTTCCGCCGGGCAAATTTTACAAACAGTGCATGGACGCTGCCATTAAAGGTAGACGGTATTAACCAGACGGATAAAATAACCGGTAACTTCTCTGCAAAAGAATAACCGACATCTACCGAAAACGACCGAAACGGAATTAATATAATGGGGGTTTATAAACGTCCTACTGTTCTGCACCGATATAGAAAGAAGACGGGAGACAACTTAAATGGAGTACAAACATATCTAAATAATTATGATAATAATAAGTTTATAAATCATTTCTGGATGAGTTGGAATCCGTTCAAAATTTTCATCGTACGTAGCACACTGTGATCTTCATCTACCCGGTTGGTGCAGAAAGAGATAGAGAGAAAAATGGGGTTTAACGTCCACTCGACACAAACTAGGTCATTTCAGGACTAACACATGGTTCAATTTTATTTCAATAATTCGCTTGCGCGTAAGGGTCTTTAGCAGTCCACGGGGAGGTGCAGAAAAGTAGGACACATGGCCGTGTCCTGGGAGGGGGAGGGTATGTATGACAAGGTGTGGAGACAATATTTCTGCTCATTTATAGGTGCATATGTTAGGCGCAATCTTCACCCCTCGCGCAGATTGCACTCCGCGCGCGCAGATTGGACCCCGCGCGCGCAGATTGCAATCTGCGCTTTTCTAGCTGGCGCGCAGATTGCCAACTTTGCGCTGATTACCCCACGATGTTTTTAGAGATACTGTAGTGTGTCAGACGCAACTATATATTATATTATATATGACCTGCCTCCTGTGGTCTTTGTAGTGAAATAATTTTCAAAATAAATGCATAATTAGCGTGTGTGCTTAGAAAATAAGATTTTTAATTCTAGTCAGCAGTATCTCATAATCGGTGCTGACCACGTGACTGAATGTCAAAAATATTTGCTGTAGTGTCTAGGCGTAGGAGCTCAAAGTAATTCAGGGGGGCATAAGAGAAAATTGCCCGAAATCAATACCGTTTTTTCGGGCATACATATCATAAGAGAGCTTCGGGCATATTTTCGGGCATGCAGTGGACAAGAAAAAGACGAGAAAATACTTTTCGGGCAGTGTGGATCTCGTAGAAATGAGTTAGTTATATTTTTTCTCTAAACGTTAATAGAAAAAAAAGGTCGTCGAATTTTTCATTGCCCCCTGGCTCCTACGCCTATGTGTAGTGTAATAATAGTTTGACCGATCGTAGTTACTTTAGTAACAAAGTCTTATAGAGACCCGTATGTAGGTTCACAAAGTATGTCATGTAGACCTCTCGACGGAAACTGCTTTATAACTCAAAAGCCCTTCTACTCCTTCCTCTTTTCTGGTAGTCAAATGCGGTGATACTTTTCTTTCCGTATCGATTTGCTCCGATTTGCTCTACCAGTAAACTGACGGTCACAAAATTCATTAAAATGATTAATACTAACGCAATGATAGTGAATACCGAGTAAGATTAGGCGGATTATCATCGCGGTAATCCATTTTAGTCCGGACAAAGTTCACTTCGCGCGCGCAGATTACTCATCGGATATTAGACGGAGATTCGCGCATGCGCGGGAGTAATCTGTCCGAGGAGGGTAATCTGCGCTCAACACATACATACTTAGAGTGGTGTGAGGCCCAAACGGACGCGTGTTAATTTTTTCAGTCGAGACAGCTAAATATATTTATTTTCTTAGTGTCTGGAAGATGGTAAATGCGCCTATAAAGTATATACTGCACTTGTTTAAAACTTGAATAACAGTTAATAATATCAGTTTATTAAATAGATTAACAGCTCGGTGCATCTTTTGTCCGGAATTTTAAAGACGGATTAGTTCTTTGAAGCTTGACGTGCATATTTATGTCTGTATTATGTATAAATGGCCAGCCAAGCGGAACAATGTTGAGTTAGTTTGAATTGGAAATCAAATTCCAAAATGTGAAGAAATGGATTGTCTCAAGTTCCGGCTTAAATATTCAGCTAGTGATCGCTAGATTTGTTTAACCTGTTTGTTACCATTTGAAGAGAGAGAGAGAGAGAGACGAGAGAGAGAGATGGGTTTAACGCCCACTCGACAGTAACCATTTGCAGACAAAAATTGGACTGTTCAGTAAATGGGTAACATGCTAACTACCTCGATTTGGTGAGCACGATCGATACATACTCATGATATATGCGATCGATGCATTCGGAGGTCTAGAGTGCATTAAGCATACATTATTGAAGAGCTATCTGCCTATTGTAGGTATTTTTTTAGGCCTAAAATGTTATATAATTGGACATGACATGGGTATGATTTTCCACAGATTTGAATCCGATCTGCGGTTCAACGGCTGTTAATAATTAACCGTACAAATGGATAATCGAGGCTTTGTTTATTATCTTAACAACTGTAACAATGTCAATCGAGGCTACAGTGTTATTAAAATGAAGATTTCCCGGCTTATAAAGTGCAGTCATTTGACTGAAATTCTCAACGTATTCCCTGTACATTATCTACTTTTTAACTATTATAGAGGGCAGTAATTTGACTGAAATTCTCAGCATATTCCCTGTACATTATCTACTTTTTAACTATTATAGAGTGCAGTAATTTGACTGAAATTCTCAGCATATTCCCTGTACATTATCTACTTTTTAACTATTATAGAGTGCAGTAATTTGACTGAAATTCTCAGCATATTCCCTGTACATTATCAACTTGATAGAGAGAACTGGATGCCAGATAACTCATTACAAGTTATAAGGCTCTGGATGCCAATAAGTCATTACAAGCTATCAAGCTATAAGGCCCTGGATGCCAATAAGTCATTACAAGTTATAAGTAGCTGGATGTCAATAAGTCATTACAAGTTATAAGGCTCTGGATGCCAATAAGTCATTACACGTTATAAGGCTCTGTCTGAATGCCAATAAGTCATTACAAGTTATAAGGCTCTGGATGCCAATAAGTCATTACAAGCTGTAAGGCTCTGGATGCCAATAAGTCATTACAAGCTGTAGGGCTCTGGATGCCAATAAGTCATTACAAGCTGTAGGGCTCTGGATGCCAATAAGTCATCACAGGCTGTAGGGCTCTGGATGCCAATAAGTCGTTACAAGCTGTAGGGCTCTGGATGCCAATTAGTCATTACAAGTTATAAGGCTCTAGATGTCAATAAGTCATTACAAGCTGTAGGGCTCTGTATGCCAATAAGTCATACAAGCTATGAAAGTTTCCTGGGGCGAGTCAAGGTTAGGGTTAGGGTTACACATACTTTAAACCATACTCCTCGCAGTGTCATTCTCGGGTCATTGCTTCAGGAATAAACATACTTTATACAAACGTCATACAGTCAACACTAGTTCTAGCATGGGCGCAGATTCCGGTGGGGACACCGGGACGCGTCCCCACCAATATTTTTAGTGGTGGGGACATGATATACCGTGTCCCCACCACTTATTTCCGATGTTTTGCTTACTGTTTATTTTTTGAAATTGAAATCATTCCAGAGCTTTTATTGACATTCCAGAAAGTGTAGAGTTGGTCCCAGGCACTGTCACATTTAAAATAGATAATATAACACAACTGGCACTATGTGAATCATTAAAATAGCTATGGGAACAATATAAACAGCTAGATTTAACTTTTAAAAATAAGAGAAAAGTTATTATTTCAATGTGGTCGCCATTTGTGAATTTTAACGTGGGAAAATTCGCCTTTGCCATCGGATTTTTAATCACCAATGAATAATACAGTTAAATGTTACATTTATTTCAATTGGGATTGAATATTGATATGTTTAGCTGTGTGTGTGTGGCTTTATATAAATTAAAAGATTTGTAGGCCTGTACATTTGTGTATCCAATTGAATACACATTTTGCTCAAAGACTTTACGTAGTCTTCGAACACTACTGGGAATGGAGGCGGAGCTGGAATCTCAGTAGTGTAAATATTTCCAGTTCTTGTAGTGTACATGAGAGAATAAATCGTGAACGGTGGCTTGAAGACTTGTCTCTAGATTAGATTTGCTGCCTCGGGGATTAGAATTGTTTGCCAGAAAATGATGCTGAAAATACCCACAGAGTGCGTTTTAGAGCGTCTAGTTTTCAAAAAATTTTGGAGGAGGACCCCCGAACCCCCCTCTTTACCAATAATCGTTCGCGCATGGACTGTCACCACCACTAATTTTTGGCGATCTGCGCCCCTGAGTTCTAGTGTTGCTATGAATAATTGTCCTATTTTACCAACCGTTACATTTCGGAGAGAAAAAAATAATATGTGTAATTTCAAAAATCAATTGCCATACATGTATACACAAGCATATACAGATCGATTATCGATATAAATCAATATTGTATTATATCTATACATATATGTATATTGACAGCATGATAGACTGTCTGACACGTTGTCTATATTTCTACACTTATACATACTCCTCGCAGTGTTTCGTTTGAGTAGAGCTAAAGGCCCATGCACAAACGAACACAACAAGAGCGAGACCTTTGTAGAGCATTCGAACCAAATGCAATGTAGATTGATAGATAGACCCAACATCTACCAGAATAATTGCTGGGTCTTTACATTGTAAAAGTTCAAGAAAAAAAATATTTATCGGGGGAAGGTTTACTGGGTTAATTAGTACACGGTATAAGTCCATAATTATGTTTATCATTTGGATGCATTTCAAATGTTCAAAATCTTTGTTTCAGGCGCTCCTCTACCAGTACTGTTCAGCCAACTGAAGAATTTACCCAAGTTTCCTTTCGGATAAGCTGCAGTGAGACAAAGGTGTTGTGTGGGTTTATTCCACGCTTTGCGCAGCTATCTTTATTTTATTTATGTAACTTCGCAGTATAAAAACGTTCCGTGTCGTAGAAACAAATAAAAACACGGAACAACGCATAAAGATAACAACAGCCCGTATAAATCTATAAATATATAGACCGCTTTTTGTAAAACTAGGTCGAATACAAAATAGAACAGGAATAATATACATGTAGTTTTCCCACCCAGCTTTAGACTACACCCTTACAAAATAGGGTTCACGCACAAAGTGAACTAAACCTATTTTCCCCGCGCACACATCGTCAACATATAAATCAACAGAACAGTTTCTGTTTTACCACGGGGACAGATGTATATGATCAGGTTAGCATGGGCCTAAATGCAGGCCGGATTAAAGGGGTGGGGCTGACTTGGCTGCACCTTGGGACCCCAATAAAGGGTCAAGGGGTCCCAATTAGTTCTAAAAAAACAACAATTTGTTCCATGTCATTTATTATGTTTGTGCCAAAAACATCTATCTATCGATCTACAGGGATGACGTGGCTAAGTGGGTAAGACGCTGGCTCGCTAGCCTGGAGGTCGGTTGTTCGATCAATGCATTGGCCGAGAAAGTTCATCCAGATTTTCCGGCGTGGTTCCCCCTTGTCATTGATGCAGGACGGAGGGCCTGACAAGGACAGCTGTCTAGTCGTTCGGATGGGACAAAAAAACGAGGCCCCATGTACACATTGGCGTGCACGTAAAAGATCCCTTGACAGTTGGAATTCGATATAAGAGTAGGCCGTAGTGCCGCTGTCCCGGCAAAATTTCCCTCATAGCACAATTTACGGCGAATCCCCGTCTTCATTAGCGCAGTCAGTGCAGATGAGAGAGAGAGAGAGAGAAATGGGGTTTAACGTCCACTCGACACAAACTAGGTCATTTCGGGACTAACATATGGTTTTTAATTTTATTTACATAATTCGCTTGCGCGTAGGGGTCTTTAGCAGTGGGAGGAAACCGGAGGACCCGGAGAAAACCCACGAGGTTGGACAGGCGACCCTACTCCTTGCCACGTACAACCGGGGATTCGAAACCACGCCAGTCGACTCAATGACAGACTTTATGATACAGCGCGCGCGCGCACGCTAACCATTCAGCCATCCAACCCCCCCATCATTTTGTTTCTAAGAGTCTTCTATGATTCATTATAATAAATGAGTAGTGCCCTGTTTCTCGAAATCTTAATTCCAAATTTTAGTAGATACTTCAATTTTGATTGGCTAAGCGCTAAAAATCTAATACTATCCAATCAAATTACTAAAATTTGGATTTTATCTAAGTTAAAAATTTCGTGAAACAGGCCCCAGATAAAGAATTTTTTTTACAATGCCGCCCCGCCCCCAAATTAATTAACAAATCCACTGTTTATAAGACTAAGTTTTTGAAAGCTGCAATACCGGAATTATGGGGAAAATATAAAAGGCGGATATATTGCAAGACGCATCATGGATTGACAAACTGACGAGGATAACATAAATATACTAATAGTAAACAACGTTACACGTGACGCTCTCATAAATAAGGTTATTATATAGAGTGAGAGGGGTTCACTAGTCAGCCGGTGCACTTAGTCCGCCGCTATAAGAAATACTATAAATATGGGTATCAATAAACCTTGCCCTAATAATAGATATCGGTGAACTAATGAACCCTAGTCCTAACCAAACCCTAACCCTAATAATAGATATTGGTGAACTAATGAACCCTAGCCCAACCCTAACCCTAATCATAGATATCGGTGAACTAATGAACCCTAGTCCTAACCCAACCTTAACCCTAATAATAGATATCGGTGAACTAATGAACCCTAGCTCTAACCCGACCCTAACCCTAATCATAGATATCGGTGGACTATTGAACCCTAAAACCTAATAATAGGTATCGATGGACTAATGAACCCTAACCCAACCCTAATAATATATAGCGATGGACTAATGAACCCTAACCTAACCCTAATAATATATAGCGATGGACTAATGAACCCTAGTCCTAACCCTAACCTAATAATAGATAGCGATGGATTAAATAGTGAACCCGCGGACTAGTGAGCATTCCCCATTATATGAAGTGTATCCCCACTGAATATTATAGAGAAACGCTACCTGCGGTGAAAAAGCTAGTTATCATTTAATTAATTCTCGTACGTAACTACGTTACAACTGAAAATTATCAAAGCCTGCGTGATTTCTATAGAGCACGTGGTAATACGTGCTAGCTACGGGAATGATTTTTCTACGGCCAATTCAGCTCTTTAACCAAGTAAGAAATTTCGATAATGAAAGCTATTTAAATGCATGTCGTCATATGGGAAAATTTCATTAATAATTATTGTTAACCCTACACTATGTAAGTCCAATATATAATTCTTGCGTACGGACACAAAGTGGTATACAGACATGTGAAATCACGATACCCTACCAAAAGTAAAAAAAACATGAAATAGGAATTTATTTTGCAAAAGTTTTGTGCGTTATCAAAAATGATCGACAGTGAAAATTTTGAAGTCGAAGCCCTGCCAAGTACATATTGGTTAGTGCTAAATGATAAGACCAGCTAAATGATAAGGCCAACTAAATAATAAGGCCAGCTCAGTTTTCGTCATAGATCATGAGATGAAAACAGGGCTAGCGCTAATCCCAACCCTAACCCTATCCCTGGACCAAGCCCTAATGCTTGCCCTAACCTACAATCTCACTAACAATCACGTGCCCTAACTAATTTACATCTCAGCTAAAATTAAGCTGACCTTTACAAATAGATTTAGCCATGCCGATATATGTGGTTGATTGTCCCATGAGATATATTACTTTTTGATTGCAAAAGTAGGATGCCACATTGACAGGCCACGCTACTCCTTGTCATGTACAAGCTGGGATTCGAAACCACGCCAGTTGACTCAATAACAGAACTTATGATACAGCGCACGCACGTGCTAACCATTCGGCCATCCAACCCCCCTACATTATTATCTGTGCTGTGACCCATTTTTGTCAATTTCTAGGTACCAAGTCAACTGGCGTGGTTTCGAATCCCCGGTTGTACGTGACAAGTAGTAGGGTCGCCTGTGCAACCTCGTGGGTTTTCTCCGGGTCCTCTGGTTTCCTCCCACTGCTAAAAGACCCCTACGCGCAAGCGAATTATGTAAATAAAATTAAAAACCATATGTTAGTCCCGAAATGACCTAGTTTGTGTCAAGTGGACGTTAAACCCCATTTCTCTCTCTCTCTCCAGGTACCAAATATAGATCTATTAGTGATTGAGAACCTTTAAATATGGGACTAACATACATAGCCTATATATAAAAAGATAAAAAATAAAAATATCAATAACAAAAAAAACCTTTTATTATTTTAACAAAATTATCACAAAGAAATCTATTTCAAGATGTTGTTGTATATCATTAGCACCTTACAAAAACAAACATCCTGTTTGACCCAGTTCATTTCAAAATGGGGGAGAGAGAGAGAGAGAGAGAGAGAGAGAGAGAGAGAGAAACTAGGTCATTTCAGGACTAACACATGGTTCAATTTTATTTCAATAATTTGCTTGCGCGTAGGGATCTTTAGCAGTGGGAGGAAACCGGAGGACCTGGTGAAAATCAACGAGGTTTGAAGGCGACCCTACTCTTTGGACCCTACTCTTTGTCACATACAACTGGGGAATCGAAACCAAGCCAGTTGACTCAATAACAGACCTTATGATACAACGCGCACACGTTAACCATTCTGCCCCAACCCCCCCATTTCAAAATGGATTAATAACCCTGAATAGAACCTTAGAAAAACATTGTCAATTAAAGATACATTATGTAAGATTTAGATAAAGAGCTGACCATTCTTACTATAATAGTTCGAAAACAGATAATGTAAAATGAACATATTGATGTGTGCATTGTGGTAACCAGGGCACTGGTATATTGACTTAGCCTCGCTTTCCCATTTTTATAAAAAAATTTAAATGGTGAACCGTTCTAATCTAGTTAAAATCTCAAGTATCTGATGCCATCGAGAGTTGATTATGGTCTTGGCAAGTTAATTAATGTCTAATTAATAATTTAGATAACATTTTAGGCCTAAAGAAAGACCTGCAGTAGACAGATTTAGCTCTTGCATAATGTATGTTTAGTATATATTGTGTTCTATATATTTAATAATAAAAAAAACATGAAAAATATCAAACATATCTTTTCTATGAAGGATTTATATACAGATATATAAAAAAACCCATCACAATTACAAAAGAAGCCCAATAAGGGCCTTAACTAAACCAATCTGATTAAAATACAGATCTACATTTTGTTTCGTTTTTTTAAACTTTTGATTACCTCGACTACATGAAGATCTGACCAGTTGTAGTGGGAGGTCGCGTCAGGGGTCATACAAGCTGCTTTTGACCCTATAACGCCAGACATTTGATTAACTAACAGTGGTTTTGAGAGGTTTCGATAATCAGGTACAAAACTGAATGTAAAAAAGGCACATTTCTCAGGGTCAATATTTACATGCACGAAGTTCTAAAAGGTTAATACAGGCATATTAAATTGAATTCTCGTTATTTTCTTGGTAGAAATTGAAGCTTCCTCCCCGCTCCGGCTCAATGTCAGTCTTTTTCCTCTATATTCAGGGTTATCTGTGGAGAGAAATCCATGTCACCCAGTGTTTGATTTGATTGGTCGGTGAGAATGGCGCGCGGATACGTCATCGCTAAGGTGTAAAATGTCTGACTGTAACCAACAGTTGTCATGTAATCCAAAACATCCTAGAAAAGACAAAAATATTTACACATTAATAGATTTATTGGTTAAGGATGTGGTCATGCTGTATATGGGGTGCGACACTTAATTTGACAATTGCAGAGATGGCACATTGCAGCAATCCAAATGGAAATGAAATGAAAGAAATGAAATTGGGTTTTTAACGTCCTACTGTTCTGCTCCAAACTGGGCTAATGAAGACGGGCATACACCCATACAATGTGCTATGAGGGAAATTTTGCCCGGACAGCGGCAACAGTAAGACGTTAAACCCCCTTTCATTTTATTTCATGCTGTCTTAGCTAAATTTACCCCACAACAAACTGCATAGTGTAGGCCTGCCTTCATTTGCCTGATAAGTGAAGAAATGTAGGTCGTTAAACACCATTTAATTTCCTTTATTCAAGGTATACGAGACGTAAAAAGGCTGGCCATCCTAGGTGTATTCATACATCACTTCACTAACCAACCAGAACTTTAAATCATAAATAATTTTTATTATTCTCATTAACCAACAAACCATAACTTTAAAGATGCCTTCCCGCGTAAAAACTGTGTGATATGATCATATATTTGGTTGGACTAAAAACATATTTAAACAAATTTATCTATTAAAATTTTGTTTCAAATCCCTCTCAAAAACTTTAAATCTCAAGAAAACCACCTCAAGCTGTAAAAATAGACATCCTTGTTTGTCACATGACTATTGACAGGAGGCAGGGGCAGATCCAGGGGGTGCGGGGGATTGGGGTGTTCAAACCCCACCCTGCTCAGCTACATAACACTTTATGAGAAAAGTGTAATGGTTGTGTGCTTTATCCTTTATTATCCGATGATATGATGGGATGGAGTGGGTATTCAAAGTGAGAAGGGGGGTTGGATGGCTGATTAGTTAACGTGCGGGCGCTGTATCATAAAGTCTGTCATTGAGTTGACTGGCGTGGTTTCGAATCCCCTGTTGTACGTGACAAGGATTAGGGTCACCTGTCCAACCTCGTGGGTTTTCTCCGGGTCCTCCGGTTTCCTCCCACTGCTAAAGACCCCTATGCGCAAGCGAATTATTGAAATAAAATTAAACCATATGTTAGTCCCGAAATGACCTAGTTTGTGCTGAGTGGATGTTAAACCCCATTTCTCTCTCTCTCTCTCTCTCTCTCTCTCTCTCAAAGTGCGAGATAATGATATAGACATATGTGATATCACAATTAATGCTTTGTATCAATGAAATTAAATCACAATATGATCGTAATAATTCATTATAAAAATTGACATTAAACAGGGTGTTGGATTTCTCTCTTTAAAAAGCTCAATGTGTCTGTATGCTTACGTAATTTTAGAGACAGTTATGGCATCATGCATTGTCAACTGGAGCCCGGCGAACCCCCTCCTACAAAAATTCCTGCATCCGCCCCTAGGAGAGTCCATTTTCAGTTTGTATCTATCGCTGTCAATTTACCATCAATATTGAAATTCAAGTAAATACTTTGATTGTCCTCTGCCAACTTATTTTTCTTCACACTGATCAGCAGTAAATATTCGCTAGGTCGCTACAATCACTGATAAGGATGACATCGAAGAGACTTAATGAGCTACAAATATTAACTTTTTTCTTCCGTCAAATTAAATTCTAAAACATTTTTTTTTTATGTATTAGAAAAATAAATAAAGACGTTTGAAGTATTTGTAGGTAAAAATTATTTCCTATTTTAGTGTAAATGTGTATTAAGATAGGTTGATACATCCGCCCACAGCAGCTAAATCGTCCGAGCAGTCAACAAGGGTTGTCGCATATTTATTCTTTTGTAGGTAATTAGGGGCATTTAAAAGACAATTTCATACGGATGACATTATAATTTTTGTCTTTTGAGGGTTCACAAGGTTCTAAAAACTAAAACAAGGACTGTAACTGTGGGAGTAATCTATTGAAATTGTTGAAATTCAACAGGCTTTTTTGTTTTACTAATTCAAATAATGCATATAAATTTCATACAGATCGGATGATAACTTTTGTTGTTCGAACGTTCACAAGGAACAACAAAGTGAAACAAGAGCCATAACTCGCGGCGTAATTAAGGGAAATTGCTGAAATTCAATAGGATTCTTCGTTTCACTAATTTAAATGATGCATATCAATTTCAAACAGATCCGATGATAACTGTTGTCATTAGAGCGTTCACAAGATTCAACAAAGTGAAACAAAGGCCATCACTCTAGGTGTAATTAACGGAAATTGCTGAAATTCAATAGGCTTCTTTGTTTTACTAATTTGAATGATGCATATAAAGTTCACACAGATCGGATAATAACTTTTGTTGTTAGAGCGTTCACAAAGTGCAACAAAGTGAAACAAGGGCCATAATCCAGGAGAAATTAACGGAAGTTATTGAAATTAAATAGGCTTCTTCATCTCACTAATGCAAACAACATATATCAATTTCAAAACAATCAGATGATAAATGTAGTCTGTAGAGTGTTCACAAGAAATTGTGGACAACGGACGGACGGACCGACCGACAGACGGACGGGGCCGACGGCAATATACGACCACATTTCCATGTGGGCGTATAAAAATGAGTAAAAGGGGCCATTCTGCTCGAATCAGTAATGTCTTATGTAAACAATGCACGCGCCATTGAGCCAATGATTGACGCCGCGTGATATGACTTCATGTGTTGAAGGCAGTCATCTTTTACAGAGATATTAGAAGACTTTCGTAATACTCTGTGAAACAGATTGATTTTTCTGATGTTTAAGCAGTACATTTAAGTCTTTCACAGTTCTCAACAAACCAAAGCTCTCCCTACCTCATTCAAAAAGACAGGCGGCTAGTTAGTGATTCCCTTACATTTTAAGGGAATCCTGGATTTTTCTAGCAGGACTGGTTGTCTCTATTTTCTGTATCTAAATTGCCTTTAAATACTTTCATGGGAATGTATCTTTAAAGTATAAATATCTTATCGGATTTTCTTATCTCTATGCTTCACATCATATCTTAAAAATGTTATCTCGGTTTCTATACCTATTTATAGATGAATGAATTTATAGATAACTTGGTCTCTGTATAGATATATAGGTCTATACTGTATAGCTTGGTCTCGCTTGCATGGGATATCACCCTAGGCAGAGTGAGACACAAACTAGGTCATTTCAGGACTAACTTATGGTTCAATTTTATTTCAGGGGTCTTTAGCAGTGGGAGGAAACTGGAGCACCTGGAGAAAACCAATGAGTTTGGACAGGCGACCCTACTTCTTGTCACGTACAATCGGGGAATCGAAACCATGCCTAGGTGGAAGCAAACGTTAAGCCTTAAGCAACGAACGAACGAAGAACTTGGTCTGTGTATGCAGTCTGTATTATTCTAATGTACATGTAGTCATTTGAGGAACTGTTATGGCATACTACAATATTGATAGATATTGGTCTCTGGTCAGATCTAAATATTAAGGCCAACTGCAGATTTTGTCACGGTCACGAGATGTAAACAGAGGGTTTTCTCTGGTCCTCTGGTTTCCTCCCACTGCTAAAGACCCCTACGCACAAGCGAATTATTGAAATAAAATTAAACCATATGTTAATCCCGAAATGACCTAGTCTGTGTCGAGTGGATGTAAAACCGCATTTCTCTCTCTCTCTTAATTAAATGTTAAATTTTCAAATCTGAGTACATTTTTTTATGTGGAAAATTTGATAAGCATCCTTGTTCATTTTACTCTTCAAAAAAAGTAGGGGATATATATTCAGAAACAATACAAAACTGTGGAAATGCACTGTTGTTTTTATTAGAGGTATCCAGTGTATGTTAATAACAGGCTAATTGTTTACACATGAACATAAACAGTTCATATTGGCGGCTTATCTGACAGCCCGATTTCACTCGTAGAGATACACCATCAAAAGTGAAAATGGACGTTTTTGATTATTGTCTTAATAATGAGTAATTGCTCCACTAATCCTCAGACATTCAGCAATTCGTCGCGGCATGCTTCTAATCAACCGTCCAATCACAATTTGGGGCAATCTGACCCACTCCTCTTGCAGTGACACTGCCAATTCTTGCAGTGTTGTCGGTTGACGCTGACATCGACAAACACGTCTCCCAATCAAATTAAATGTAACACACTAAAGCAAAGATACGCTAAACAGTAAATCGTATGCAAGAATCAATAAGAAAGCAAACATGGATAGATAAACCAGCACGCGGCAGTTTTCATCAACCCTTCCTTGAAGTGTCAAATTTGGCAATGAACCCCTCCCACATGTATGTCGCAATTGCATGTCGCTTGAGCAGCTCAGTGGTTCTGTTGGGGTGATAAGTTCTTCATCTGTGAACATACTCTCAAAGCATGTCAAGTGTGCATGACTATTTATCATGTCACAACCTGCATAGGCATGTGCATTTCAATATCCCCTACTTTTTTTGAAGAGTATATATTTCCTTGGTTCATCAAAAAGATATAACTTACTGAAAAATTAAGTTACTAGGCAACGAAACGGGCACCTAATTATATTGTTACACTTTGACACTTTCATATCTCGGTAACTAGAGCAGTCTCGTAGCTAGAGCAGTAACAGGACTTTAATAATTAATCAAGGGCAACCAGCCATGAAGTACCAGTAATCGTTACAATTTGATTAATTTCTTCTGTTGATTGCTTACATAAACAACATATCAAGGGCTGTAACAAAGTACTCTATAACTTTCATCAAATTGAACGGTCATTTAGGTACTAAGAACTGTATGAACTCAGCTGGTTTTTGATAATATATGATATTGACTTTTCAACTCTGTATAAACTTCTGTTAAAGCACGGACTGGCTATGATCTAATTAAACATGTAATTAATCCCATATGTCATTTACAAACTACATATGATCTGTGCACACGTTCCGCTTTACTTCAAAGTAATATGCACTCGTCAGTAAGCATGCCATGACGAGATAAAATTGCATGTATGACCATGAGCTTATCTATATATTCTCCGGCGCTATATAATCAGGAGTT